CCCCGAGCCGCGGGGGCGGCCAAACTGCAGCCCGACAGGCCCCGATGTGAGGTCCCAGGACCGCCCCGAGGGCACCTTCTTACCCGGCCTTCCGCCCTCGCCCTTCTCGCCCGGAGCCCCGGGCGCACCGTCGCGGCCATCGCGGCCGTCGCGGCCTGGCAGGCCCTGGTTGCCGTGTTGGCCTGGCGTGCCTGGCAGGCCGGGGTGCCCTGGGCACAGGCTGGGGATCTTGTTGTCATCCAGCGGGGGCGAGCAGGCCACCAGGCCCAGGACCAGCAGGGCCAGGAGCAGCCTCATGGCACTGCCGCGGGGCGCCGGGACTTCGGGTCTTCTCGTAGTCTGTGGGCAAGGCAGGGCCGGGGTCGGGGTCCTGGGTCCGGACTCCGGGGACCTGCCGCCTCCCCCAGCCCAGCGCAACGAGTTGGCCCCTCCGCCACTGCCAAGGTGCTGAGGCTGAGCGGCCGCATGGGGACTGGCAGGGATGGCCCTGGACCGCCAACAACCTCCCCCCGCCCCCCCCTTTCCCACAGTCCCCTCCCCCTGCCAGCTCCCCACCTCCCACCCAGACTCACCCCGCTCCCAGAGCTGCCTACTCTGAGCCTCTTGGGGCGCCCCTGTGCCCAACGCTCCGGCTGGACCCCCAAGCTTCTCCCCAGCAGGCGCCCCCTACACCCGCCGCCCCACTGGTCCCTGTTCGCTCCCAGCCGGCTCCGTTTGGCCCCACCCAGACTCAAGAGGAAACCAGAGGCTCAGGGCCCAAAAGCTCCAGGCCGGGAAATAGCAGGGAAATAACTCGTGGTGTCGCCCGGCGGCCGGCCAAGGTTTGGGGGAGAAGGGAGGGGGAGTTACTTAAGCCGGGAGCCTCGAAGCAAAGAACCTAGAGAGACTTAGGGCACCTACTGCCCCAAGGAGCCGCAGGAGCCCGGCCAGGGACTGGGCATGGGGAATGCCAGGCAAGGATCTAAGGGGTGGAGAGGTCTAGGGACAGACAGGCAGCTGGATCCCGGGGGCTAGAACAGAGTCTGCCACATAGTAGGAACTCGAGTCATCTTGTTGAATAAGAGAAAAAGGGAGGAGTTGGTGAGGAATCTGACTAATGGAGAATGGGGTGCAGGGCACTTGGTGGAAGCAGCCTGTAAGAATGTGGGTCAGAGATGACAGTGGGAACTAGTCCGTGGGCCTAGAGTGAACCCCAGCAGATGTCAGGCCGTTGCTGGAGCAAGAGGGACCAAGAAGGGGGTAAGAATGTGGGGAGTGGGGTGGGAGGGTCTCATTAACCACCATTGAGGACTCTCTCCTCCCTACTCTTGGGAGGATGGGCAGAGTCCCAGGCCAGCCCTCTTATGCCTGCCAGCTCTCGCAGCCAAAGACGGGTGGGCAGGTGGAGGGCAGGGGCAGGCTTCAGGGTCAGGGCTGGGAGCACGCCCCCAGACCAGCTGCCTCAGGTAGCCTGTTGCAGTTGAAGGGCCAAGGGGTGCCCAGCAGTGCCAGGCCAGACTGGCACTGATGCTCTGCCTCCTGGCAGACAGAACGGCAGGGGGGCAGGACAGTGCCCAGTGGGGTGCAGCGGGGCACAAGCAACCCGCAGAGGAGCCTCCGGAAGTTCTGGTAGCAGGGCAGGCTGGTCAGGCTCTGTGGAAAGAGACCGTTCAGGCCCCTGCTCCCCAGGCCCTTTCCAGTTCCTTGGGGCCCCTCCCTCTCTGTGCCCAGGGCACCTTGTAGCCCCCGAGGATCTCCATCACCTCCTCCTGGGTGGCCATGCCCACCCAGATGTTAGGGAAGGCAGTGGCGTTGTAGCTCAGACCGATGCACATCTCCACCTGGACAGGCTCGCAGGCCAGCTCTGCAGGGGAGGGTGGGGTCACTGTAGGGACCGCTCACTGGCTGTGTGACATGGGGTAGGTGACTCAAGCACTCTGAGGCCTTTCTGTAGGGGCCAGGTGGGAGCTGTTGTCCCCATCAACGGTGATAACATGGGGATCCCTATTATTCGTAAGAGCTTACTCCAGGTGCTGCTTGCTGGCCCGGGCATCATGCTGGAACTGTCTGGATCTCACCATGTGTGGGGCTGCTTGAGTGTCTGGCGCAAACACCCCTGTGCCAATGCCCTCCCCACCAGTGTACATCTCACGACCATCTTTTTTTGGGGGAGGGTTATGACTATGGGGAGGGTTCTGTCTGACAGGGGTGGGCTGGATTTTGAAGTCCTAGCAATTCCCAGAATCCCATGTCGCTTGGAAGTACACGGCTCCCACCAGGTGGGCCTTCAGGATCTGTGGCATGGAAATGAGGCCCTGGGAGGAGAGGGAGGAGGTCCCCACTGCTGTGTGGTAGCTTCAGGGGCTCAGCCCTGCCAGCCCTGCCTGCGGTGCCCCGGGCAGGTTTCTCACCTGTGGGTGGAGGGAGGGCCCTGGTGCAGTTGCCTGCACTGCCTCCCTGCGTGCAGTCTCTCCACACATCACACGCCCACTGCAGAGCTTCACACGCCCCGTCTTCGCAGGGCAACTCCCAGGGTCCACAGGGCTCTGGAGTGCAGGGCCCACGAAGGGAAACTGACCAGAGTGCGGACCCTGCCTGCTCCTCCAGCTGCCCATGCCCACCTGCCCAGGGGCACCTACTGCTGGTGGCATTGAGGGCCTGGTAAGTGGCCGAGAAGCCCCCGCTGCTGAAGCCAGGGTCTGTCCTGAAGAGCACAGCCAGTGTGTGGTGCGAGGAGACCAGGCGTGGGGGCGGCTCTGCCCCACAGAACCTGCCCAAGCAGAGAGGAGTCCTGGGCGCAGGGCCCCTTGACCAACACAGGGTGGCACCCAAGCCTCCCGGAGGTCTCTGCCACTTTCAGGGCTCTGGGCTGGGTGCTCTGGGGGCAGCCGAGGAGCTAGCTGGGAGAGGCTCACAGGTGAGGACTGAGACCCATTGAGTCAGTCCAATAGTAAACAGCTTGGACTTGCCGTGCTTCAGGGTGGGGAGGATTCCCGGGGAGGTGGATGTGGAGCCTGCAGGAGGGGAGGAGGAGGAGGGGACCGGGCCTTCTGGGGAAGAGGACTACTGGGCGCAAAGGCTCGGAGACAGAACACACAGGAGCTGTCTGCAGGGCGGCCCAGACGGCACTTCTGGCTTGAGGAGGAAGCTGTTGGGGCCAGAGTTGGCCTGGCTTTTGCTGTACCTGCCCAGGAAGCGGAGGGCCCCCGAGTGGCCACTCTCATACACGTCCACGTAGTCCAGCTTACACTCCCCGTGGGCTTCCAGGCTGAAGTTGTGGAACTGCAGTGCTATGCCGTGTCCCTCGGGCACAGTCAGATGCCATGTGCAAAGCTGGGGGGCGGGTGGGGTGCACAGGTGGAAACATTCATGGGTACCCTCCTCTGTGCCAACTTGGACACCTAGCCTGAGCTTCCAAGGAGGCTTCTTCCCTGGGAAGACTGAGCAGGGAACAGGTGGACACTGCCTACCTAGCTCTCATCATCGGTGGCTTAAGGTCGGAAGGGTCCTTTCACTCACCTGGGTTCAGGGATAAAGCCACTCAGAACAGAGGCGCGCGCGCACGTGTGTGTGTGTGTGTGTGTGTGTGTGTGTGTGTGTGTACTGGTACTGCTCTTAGCCCTGTTGTGTGTGTGTGTGTGTACTGGCACTGCTCTTAGCCCTGTTGCTGCCATCAGCACAGTTGGCCCCTGAATGCTGCCCAGACCTGGTCCTCCTATGATTGGTTGTCGTTGGACTATTGCGATCCAAAGGACTTTCATGAACTGGCTTTCAGATGTAGATGGGCCTGGCCTTTCTTCCTAGTGTCTCTTAGCCTGGAAGCTCCACTGAAACCTCTTAGCATCATAGCAACACACAGGCCTCCCCTGAAGACAGGTAGTGGCAGCCCCTGAGCTGCATTGGTCAGAAATTGAATCCAGGTCCCCCGAGTCCCTGGGCCACGGAGTTGATTCCAATTCATACAGTGACTCGATAGGACAGAGGAGACTGCTCCGTAGGGTTTTGGTGCCTGTACATCTTCCCAGGAGCCTCCTCCTCCCGGGAGGCCATGGTGGGTTTGAACAGCCCACCTTGCTGTTGGCAGCCCAACGCTTACCCCACAGCACCACCAGGGCTCCTGAGTCTCCTGTGTGAGAGGTGAGAATTCTCCTATGGGGTCACTCCAAGTACAGGGCAGTATCCTCCTGCTGCTGTAACCACACTGACCTGGTGGCCCAGGTGTGCCCAAGTATGTCCCCCACCCGCCCATCCCTGGGAAGCTTCACTTACCTGCTGATGAGGGGACCGCTGCAGGAGGGTGGGGGCAGAGAAAGTGCCCTGGAGCCCTGTCAAGTTCCCCCCACATCCTGTGGGGAGAGGAGGGGAGGGGAGGAGCACAAGTGTTTGCCTGTGCCTCTGCCCCAGTGAGGGCTGGCAGGGGCTGCAGAGTTAGAATTTTGGCTGAGCCCCGGGGCTCTGGAGTAGCAGGGTGCCCAGGCAGGGAGGCAGGGGGTGGGCACAGAGCTGGGAAGCCCAGTCAGATCAGATGCCTAAGGACAGTACTGGCCTGGCCCTGGCAGGGCCTGTACCTGGGAACTTGGCACCGCAGTTGGCCTCGTCGCTGCCGTCAGCACAGTTGGCGAAGCCATCACACACCGAGTCGGGGAGCAGGCAGAGGATCTGGTCACAGGAGAACTCATCATGGGCACAGCTCCCTGAGGGCAGACATCTGGCTTCAGAAACGCCCAGGATCTCCACGCCTTTGCCAGGGAAGTGGGCACGCCACAGTAGGTTGGGGCATGGTAGAGAAGTGCTTACCATGCCCAGGGGCCACAGCCTGGTACCAGGCATGGAAGCCAAGCCCCTGCACGCTACTGTCAGAGACGAAGGCCACCCGGAGGTGGCTGGCATTGGTGTTGAGTGTCGGGGGAGGCATCTTCCCACAAACCCTGCAAGAAACCGGGCTGTGTGTGATGGAGGCTCAGGGAGCAGGACTGGCTGCAGGTGAGCCTGCCCGTGTCCTGTGTCCTCAAGCCCTGGACCAGGAACCGCATGGACACACTGGTCACAACTCTGTTAGCTCTGGGGGACTTGACCTCTCTAGCCCCTGCACACCCATCCTTGCAGTATTTAAGCCAGGAGAAAGAAAGACAGGTGGGAACTCCGTTACAGATCTGAGAGGGGAAGGAGTGACCTTCTCAAGGTCACACAGCAAAGCAGCAGCGGAGGTCATCTCAGGTTTCCCTCCCGGTCCAGCCACGTCTGCCGCAGACTCTGGTTCGGGCTGAGAGCACACCCACCTGAGGAGGGGACCTTCCGGCTCAGGGGAGAGCTCCATGCGATCAAACAGACAGGAAGCCACATTCTCTATGTCCAGGGTGTCGATCCTGAGCTGTACCACGTGGTCTGGGGCCACCTGGATATGCCACACGCAGTGGGCATTGGGTGGGTAAGGGTCTGGGTAGTTGGGGCTGCTGAAGAAGCCCCTTAGGCCGGTGAGGAATCCCCCACAGGCTGCAGAAATGGAGGTTAGAGTTCAGAGGTCAGAGGAGACGGGTGCCTCTTCTTGGTCTTTCCTTCCCCTGGCTCTTCTTTCAGGAAAATGCCCGAGTACCCACCGGGTTGAGGGGTGGGGCTGGTGCTCGCCGCCGCCTGCTGCCCCACAGGGCGCCCGTTGGCCTGAGAGGTGGCGTTGGCAGTGCTGATGGCGAAGCCCGTCCAGAAGGTGCTTCCGAGACCTCGGGCAGGCGGGGGGCTAGCGGAGGCCGTGGCTGGGGGTGTCTCCTGCAACTCTGGGGGCAGGAGGGTAAGGAGTGGGATGGAAAGGCAGGTGGCCTTCCGGTGGGGGTGGGGACAGAGTGGTGCCCGGCCCCTCCTCCCACACGCTCCCTCCTGCTAGCAGGCCCTGTGTGCTCACGGGCCAGGAGGATGGCTGCCAGCAGCCCGAGCAGCAGCAGCAGCAACAGCCCGAGCAGCAGCAGCAGGACGCAAAGCCCGGAGAAGTGGCAGTCTGGCCGCAGCCCTTGGGGGGGCCGCCGCCTTGCTGTGGGCAGGCAGGGTGAGAGCTGTGAAAGCCCCTCCCTCGGGCAGCCCCCACACTGTCCTCTGCCCCCTGCCCTGTGCCCCAGGCCACCCCCGAGAGAGATGGTTACCACGCCAGGGGTCTCGGAGGCTGCTCCCATCTTCCTGGAAGGCTGGCAGAGGGCTGGGAGACCCCAAATCCGCCTCGAAAGCAGGGTTGCAGAACTCTGTCTGCAAGGGAGTCACCCGAGGGCTGAGGGGTCAGCTCAGAGGACCATGGTGCTGCAGGCACCTGCCAGGCACTTGGGAGAGTGGCCTTGACACCCCTTACCTTGCTCTGCTCTGTCGCCTCCACACACAAGATGACATCTGAGGTGCCTTTCATGGTCCAGGGTGCTACAGAGCTTAAGACAGCTCCCACTCCCACACCCCAAGCCTCTGCGGAAGGGCCAGCCTTTACTCCCTGCGGGAAAGGCTGGTGGCTGTTCTGGACACCCTTGCAGGCCTGGGAGGCTGCTGGCCTCTGCAGTTCTAGGGGAAGAAGGCACAGCAGCCAGCAGGAATTTGCAAGGCATGAAGGAGGCCCTTAATCCAACTCAGCTGAGGACGCCCAGGCCAAGCCCTGGTGCAGGGTGGCAGTTCTTAAAGGTGCAGGCCATGGCTGGGACCACAGGAATGCAGTGTGCTGGGGCAGGGGGAAGGTCATGCGTAATGGGATCGCTCAAACCCCAATGCAAACCAGTTACTGTGGAGCTGTTTCTGACTTGTGGGCTTCAGAGCCCATGTGGGATGTCAAGGCGTGACTTCTCAGAAGCAGATCACCACCAGGCCCTTCTTCTGAGGTACCTGTGGGCACTTTAAACTGTCACCGACTGGGTCAGCAGCCGAGTGCTTTGTCTGCTGAGCTGTTTGAGTACTGCCCACTTTCCTGCCCTGGGATGGGGCAGAGAGAAAGAGGAGAGAGATGCTCGCTGGGCGTAGGGGATTGGCAGCTCCTGGCCCGTGAGTCCTATGGGTCCTGATCAGAGTGACCGGGCCCTGGCGTGGGAAGGACCGCTCTCATACAGACAGGCCTGCTGCTGCAGTGTGTTGGTGTTGGGCTGCAAACGGTGAGGTCATCAGTTCAAACCCACCAGGGAGAAAGACGAGGCTTTACAAAGCCTCAGAAACCTGAGAGTCGCTGTGAGTCAGACGGGACTCAGCGGTTGTGGGGTGAGGTGGTATGGTTTAGGGTGGTGTGTGTTGACCCTTTGTGGTGCTGGAAGGGTGGCCTGCCTATTTCTGTGGCGTTGTGTGTGTGTGTGTGTGTGTGGGGCAGCGGGAGGCTGGTGGCACAGCTGTTAAGCAATGGATGGCTAGTAGAAAGGCTGGCAGTTGGAACTCCGTAGTCAGCCACTCGGAGGGAGAAGACCTTCGGCAATCCGCTTTCCTCACGTTAGGGCCTTCAAACCCCTAACGGGCTCTTCTCGTCGGTCACCTGAGGTTGCTGTGAGTTGAGTTGACTCCCTGGCAAGTCTCCAGGACAAAGAACGAGACCTCAGGGTGGGATCCTTGTGCTGGACCCTTGGGGAGGTGCAGTGGAAACCTGCAATCTGTGATTGTTTCATTGCGTCATCTGTTAGCAAAGCTCTCCGGGCGACCCCAGCTGCTCCCAGCGGAGAGCGGAAGGGAATGCTGCTCTGTCTTGTGTGCCTCTGGCTGGGGCGGCCAGCACAGGGGGCGGGCTGGAGCTGCCTGTTGGTTTCTGGCTGCTGGTTTGTGGGAAGTCTGTCCAGCATGCGGCTCTGGGCTGCAGGCCTGACTTGCCGTCTGCTTTCATTGGGGTAGCACACCCCTCTCACCGAGGATGGCACCGAGACACAGATATCAGCATCCACATCTTCACAAAGCTGATTCCCACAGGGCGAGGAGGTCCCCCACTCTCCAACCTCCCCACCCCCCCACCCCGCCCTCAACTGGTCCCAGCACCACACCTTCCACCACAGCGCCTTTGGACTTCTCTGCGGGGTTCCGTCATTGGTCGCAATGGCTACACAGAGCTCGCCTGCAGTGAGATGGCTTATCAAGGCAGGAGCCGGGTGCAGCTTGGATCAGGGTCACAACATGTAGGCAAAACCTGCCTTCTTCAAGGTAGGACGCCCCTTCCAGCCCCTCACCGTCAGAGCAGTGGTACAGCCCCGGTCGATGCTGTAGTCCTCCCACCTTTCCTCTCTTTCCCTCTCTCGTTTTCTTACTGGGGAGCGAGTGGTGATTTCTGCATTACATGGGGAGCGGTGGTCACTTTGTTCCTTGCCTTGGAGTTGATCTGGACTCCGGTGAACCCCCTCCCGGGTGTTAAGGCAATGTGGGTAAATCTGCATCCCTTCCCAACTCGATTCCAGTGGGGTGTTACCCCCCTCCCCCGCCCCCGCAAAGGAAAGCACAGGAAAGATCGCCCAGTGGTGGGTTTACAACCCCACTGACAAGTCTTCAGAAGCCGAGGCCAGCTGACTGGTCGAGTTGGGATGTTCTAATGCTCTGTTCTTCCTCCGCAGACGTAGGTAATGAGATTTCTTACGTGCGGTCAGGTTCAAGGAGTAGGGATTCTAGCTTTGAATGAAAATATATCATAAGCCCTGGTTGTATGGTGCTGCCCCAGTGCTAGAATGAGCAAGCAGGCCTAGCCATGATGGAGAACAGGCGGTCAGTATGCAACCACTTCTGTTGGCAGATAGAAATACGAACACGGAACATTCATGAAGCAACAGGACCAGGCAGCCTCTGCTTGCATCCGTGGAGTGACTGGTGATTTTGAACGGCCAGTTTTGTGATTAGCCCTGGCTTAGTAGCTTAACCGATGACGGTGTCCTGGATAGGAAGACCATGGGGGTGGGTGCTGTTCAATCCCAAATCCAGGTAGCAGGCAGAGAGAGCCAAATGGAGGGTCCAGAGCTAGAGGCTAAAAGTGTCAGAAACTCACAGCAGGTCTTTTTTGCTTCTACCCAAGCGCAGCCAGGATGCAGAAGTGTGCCTTTTCAGGTGACGTGTGTGAGAGTAAAAAGCTCGACGTGAGCAGACAGCCTCATCTTTCCCCTGAGAAGCAGCTGGTGGGTTTGAACCACTGACCTTGCAGTTAACAGCTAAACACCTGCTACCTCATTCACAGACTTTCAAAACTCACTGTGATTGAACTGATGCTGACTCATAGTGACCCCAAGGACAGGGTAGAAGTGCTCCTGCTAGTTTCTAAGACTAACTCTTTACAGGAGGAGAAAGCCCTGTCTTCCTCCGTGGGAGTGGCTGGTGGTTTCGAACTGTGAGTCTTGCAATTAGCTGCCCAACGAGTAACCGCTACATTGTCAGAGCTCCTATTACATCTTTAATGCTTATTCATAAGACATTTATCGACATTATTGGGGAAGAAGACAGAGACATCTGGAGAGGCTAGGGGAATTAAGCACTTGCTGAGGACCCCCCACTAAGATAATCCCAATACACCTTTGATGGGGGAGTCCTAGAAAAATGGGGTGGAGGTGGGAGGAATGGACATTTGTTGAGGACCTACTATGTGCCAGACACTCTCTTTTTCTTTATTATAACTCACAACTTTGAGTGGGTATGTTCAACCCATGTTAAAACCCAAACCTACCACTAAGTCCTCATAAGATGCTGTATAGGATTTTGGAGTAAATCTTTTTGGGAGCAGACAGCCTCATCTTTCTCTCTCCACATGGCTATTAAGTTTGAACTGCAGACCTTGTGGTTAGCAATCAAACACCTAACCCACAGCACCTCCAGAACTCCTTATACCTATATTACAGATGAGGAATTGAGGAGTAAGTAATTTGCTTTGATAGCTTACAGTTAGTTGACTGCTAACTTAATGGTTGGTAGTTCAAACCCACTCAGTGGCTCTTGGAAGAAATCTGGCAAGCTGCTTGTGTAAGTCCGGGTAGACTAGAGAAACAAATTCACAGACACTCATATGTGTATAAGAAAGAACTTTATATGTGTGGTAGTTACATAATCTGGTGTCATTGGGACTTGAGAGGATTAAGAGTGAAGGGGTGGAGTCTAGTCTGTCAATAGGATCATAGCCTTGAGGCCTCTGTGTGGACATGGCCTTCCCCTGAGAATTCTGGGAACTCCTGTATTTTCTTCCTTGGAGATGGTAGACACTTTCTCTCTCTGCCGACTCCCTGCAAGACATCCCTGAGGAGAAGCCACATGGACCTACCCTGATGCAGCCATGGAAGCTGGAGAAGTCAAGTGGAGACCCCTGCCAACACTGGGATGCTCACAACACCACTGGATCCAAAGATTTTCTACCCACTGGCCTGTGATTGTCCTGCATTCAGCATCATTGCATGTGTTTCATGAGTCTGAAGAGGACTTTATAAATTGGTATCAGACATATGGGCTAATATCAGACTTATGGGCTTGATCTGGACTGGGCTGGAAACGTTTTCTCAATATTCAATTGCTCTTGTATATAAAGCTCTTTCTCAAATACATATGAGTGTCTAATCCACCCAGACTAACAATATGAAAGAGTAATTGTACATTAAGAAAACATCCCAGCCTGGTCCAGATCAAGTCCATAAGTCCGATATTAGCCCATATGTCTGATACCAATCTATAAACTCTTCATCAGACTCACGAAACACATGCAATGACACTGAGTACAGGAAGATCACCGGCCAGTGGGTGGGAAGTCTTGTGGATCCAGTGGCAGTGGAAGGATCTCAGCGCTGGCAGGGGTCTCTACATGGTTCCTCCAGCTCCAGGGCTCTAGTGTAGTTCCATGTCTTGTCAACAGGAATGTCTCGCAGGGAGAGTGTGTGTGTCTCACCTCCAGTGAGTGATTTATGTCCATCGCACCTCCAAATGAGGTCATCAAGCTGCAACCTGATTGACAGGCTAAACTCCACCCCTTCACTCTTAATAGTCTCAAGTTGGCACCAGGTTATGTAACTACTGCACTGCTATTGTCAAAATAAGTCAAGAGAATCCTATGGCTGCGGTTCTGCTTGCAGCATATGGGGTCGCCAAGAGTTGGAACCGATTTGATGGAGACAGGTTTGGTTTTATACATGGTAGTCTTGGAAAACAACAACAAAAAAGGCTGTTCTTTGTGTTGCCTCCATCTGCATCCCGCACAGAGGCGTGTTTCTGCCTGGGCAGCTCTGAAGGATGCCAGGAGAATGGTGCCCTCAGGGTGGCCAGCCTGGATGGACTAGGGACCTGTGAAGAGGCTGATCTTGCTGGCTTTGCTCCTGGTGTGTGAATGTCGAGTGTGGGCATTGACTTCCCTATCACATTGCTGTTCAGCTCAATTCCAGATGAGCTTGACATCTTGCAAGAAGGCCTTTCAGGGTTTTACCAAAAGGCAAAGTACTCAGGTTGAGAGAGACCTGGGTGGGGAGCCAGAGACCTGGGTTCCATCCTGGTCCTGCGACCACGTGGCAGTTAGCATTTATGTTAACTTGAATATGCATGAAAGTGTACAGTTTATGTTAACTCGAATGTGCATGGAATCCAACCTGCCAATCAGGTCACCGCCTGATGACGCCTCCCTTGTGGGGGTGGCCTTCTTATCAGGAAGAAACTGGGAGCCTCTCTGTGTGCATCCTTCCACCTCCCTGCCACCTGGGACTCTGTCCATGTGGCATTCCTGAGGGCCGTCAGGGCCCCGCCGTGCCATGTTTCTACCAAACTTGGATCCGCAGGACTCTGCACCCACCAGCCTGTGACCTTCCTGCTTCCACCTCACCTTGCCGTGTCATCCACTTGCAGTGACAGAAGAGAGTCTGAAGAGGGACTTACAGGTGAGCCTTGGACTTGTGGACTTGAGTTGGACTGAGCGGGGCTGTCTTCTGGAGAGCTAACTGCTTCTTTTCATAGACACTTGTGAGTGCCTGCTACCAGTCTGTTTCTCTGGACAACCCAGGCCGGCATAGCCGCCGCCAAGCTCCAGGGCGGGGAGCAGGCTTGCTGCTTCTTCTTTGGGGCCAAACAAGAGTGTGGACACTGTGACCTCTATGGTCTCAACTCAAAGCAATGGTCACGTGACCATTTGACATCAAGTGGATCCCAACACTGAGCAGTAGTCATTTAAAAAAAAAGTCTATAAAACGGAGTTGGGGGGTCAGAGGTACACCAGGCTCCCAGGATGAGGCCTCGGGCAGCTCGTCAGAATGGCCACAACCAGAGCTGCAGCCTGGAGGCCCACGAGTGCACAGTCTCCATTCACCGATGAGGCACTGTTCTGTGTTCCCTCCCCCCACATACATGTTGGAAATCCTAACCTTTCTGTGTGGGATCATCCCATTTGCGACTGGGCTGTCTGTTCTGCTGATGAGGCAGGAGGAGTGTGCAATGTGTCTCAGTCCATCCCTTTTGAGATAAGAGAGGGAAGAAAGCCCAGGCTGGCAGGAGAGACAGGGAAAGACAGAAGCCAGGACACATGCAGCTCTCCAAGAAATCTGGGAGCGGAAGCTAAAGAGACTCCCTTTCCTCAGCGCCAACAGAGGGGCAAGCTTCTGGACCTCTCCCCGCCTCAGTGGCGGGCAGGGATCCAAGTCACTTGCTTGTGAAAGCTGCTTGCTTGCGGCATTTCTGTTGTTTCAGCGGCAGCAGATCACAGAGACGGGCAGAGACCAGAGAGCATGGTCCTTGCTCAAGGTCACAGGG